TGCTGGATGTGTAACTCGGTTCTATTTTTTTTTCTGTCTTTTGTGGGCACTGAATGCATCCTACTAGCTACAATGGCCTATGATCGCTTTGCAGCTATCTGCCATCCTTTGAACTACACTTCCATTATGAGAAGAGCCTTTTGTCTCCAATTGTCTGGTGCCTGCTGGGCAAGTGGCTTTCTCAATTCAGCTCTTCACACTTATTTTACATTCCATCTACCATTCTGTGGGGCCAATCACATCAATTATTTCTTCTGTTATATTCCTCCCCTTCTAATGTTTTCATGTGGAGACAAAACTTTAAATGATATCATCTTATTTGTGGTTGGGATCTTCATAGGATGGACTCCATTTCTTTGAATTCTTCTTTCTTACATTTATATCATCCCCACTATCATGAAGATACAATCCAATGAAGGGAGGATCAAAGCATTCTCCACTTGCACCTCACACCTAACTATTGTCACATTGTATTACGAAAGCTCCATTTTCATCTATGACCGGCCAATATCAACATACTCATTAGAAAAAGACCAACTCATTTTTGTGCTTTATAGCATTATCACTCCCATGTTAAACCCTTTGATTTATACATTTAGAAACAAGGACATTAAGAATGTGATGAAAAAGATTTTTCTCAGAAAACTTTATTTAAAATTTACAAAGTAATAATTTCTTCTGAAAGAAAATGAGGAGTACTCACATATTTTCTAAAACTTATGTTTATCTGTAATAATATGAATTATGTCTCTCCCTATATTTCTATGAATTCTATATTAACTTGTACTGTGCTTTACTCTATGTGTTTCCTATCTATAGTGTCAGCAGGTGTCTATAATTTCCACCTGTTCTCTATTAGGTTAGCTATTTTGTTTCTTTATACAGTGTTATGAACTAATTAAAGACTTAAAATGAATATTAATTGTACTCTTTTTCAGTTTAATAAAATGATAGATACCATTTTTTTCCATTAATCACAAACTTTAAGCAGGTTTTAATAATAACAGCAACAACATGAAGCTTCTACCTCCAAATAAATTTTAACCAATGAAGGGAAGGAGCTTGGACCTGTCATTTTTATTCCCTTTCTTTTAAAAAACTACATGCCACGTTCTGGCTAAAAAGCCCAACAAAGTAAAATACCAGAGAGATGGCGAGCTCCAATATAAACTTTATTAGGCATAGAATACTAGCATGATAGAAGGAAAGCTAGCTCTGGCAATATGGTGGGAAACAGATAATTAAAAGATAAAAACTTATCTTCCCTCTTTGATGGTTCAGGTCACATTATCCAATTAATCTCCAAGCAATTGTTATGAGAAGAAACTTTGGTTCATTAAAACATTTCTTCCGTAGCTTTGGCTCTCACACTGATAAGGAGCAATTGTGGATCCCAAGTTCTTCTCTCCACAACTGTAGGCAAGCTAGAAACCCTATGGCAGTCCTAATGATAATAAATCTTTGTAGCTTGACAGGCTGGCCCCTGCAGAGGTGAGTGAACCTGGAAAACAAAAAGGAATACACATTATTATTATTATGGATCATCGCACAGTCAGCCAGATGTTCAGACTGGATTTGGCATTTTGTCTACCTATCGAGTCCTTACCCAGGACCTGGGATAGGCAGATGTGGATGTTTGATGGTATTACAGGTATCATCGCAGGATGGAAGCAGTTCCTAGTAAGGCCGCCTTTTGCAATTGACTAATAGCAAATTTATCAATGCCAATGGTGTTCAAGTGGTGCTCCAGTTGTTTTGGGATTGCACCCAAGGAGCCTATGACTATTGGTACTACCCTTGCTTGCTTTTGCCACAGTCTTTCTATTTCTATTTGTAGGTCTTTGTATTTTGTTATCTTCTCCAGTTCTTTCTCTTCTATTCTGCTATCTCCAGGCACTGCCACGTCCACTATCCAGACTTTTTTGTCTTTCTTATCGACAATTGTTAAGTCTGGGGTGTTATGTTGCAGGTGCTTGTCTGTTTGAATTCTGAAGTCCCAGAGCAGTTTAATTTTATCATTTTCTATGACTTTCTCTATTTTATGATCCCTCCAGTTTTTGCTTACAGGCAAATGATATTTTTTGCAGATCTTCCAATGCACCATTGTTGCTACTTTGTCATGCCGCTGCTTGTAGTCAGTCTGTGCAATCTTCTTGCAACAGCTTACCAAGTGGTCCACTGTTTCTTCAGTTTCTTTGCATAGGCGGCACTTACTGTCTGTTGCTGTCTTCTCAATTTTGACTTTGTATGCATTTGTCCTTAAGGCTGGTCTTGTGCAGCCAGAATTAGTCCCTCGGTCTCTTTCTTCAATTTTCCTGCTCTTAGCCATTGCCAGGTCTTGTTATTATCTGCTTTCCCAGCTATTTTTTTTCATGTATTGGCCATATAGTGCTTTGTCTTCCAATGCCTCTATTCTGTTCTTTATTTGGTCTTTCTTGTAGGCCAGTTTGGTCTCTCCAGTAGTTAGTAAGCATATACCAGTGCATCTTCATCATTGTTCTTCAGATATTCTTCCAAAGCCATTTTTTCTTCTTCAACCATCTGATGTACTTGTAGCATTCCACGCCCACCTATTTGCTTTGGTAGATAAAGTCTGTCAATGTCACTGCGTGGATGAAGGGCATGATTCATTGTCATTATTTTTCTGGTCTGCCTATCCATTGCTTTTAGTTCTGCTTGAGTCCAGTCCACTATTCAGCTGTGTACCTAATGACTGGGATTGCCCAGGTGTTGATTGCCCTTATGGTATTTCCTCCATTGTGTTTGGACTTTAAGATCTTCTTCACTCTCTTGATGTATTCACCTCTAATCTTTTTTTGACTTCAGTGTGCTTGATGTTGTCAGCTTGAAGGATACCCAAGTATTTGTAGTAATCTTCCTCATCCAGACTCTTAATGTTATTTTCGTGGGGCATCTTGATTCCTTCAGTTTTCATTATTTTTCCTTGTTTGATAGTAAGTGTGGCACATTTGTCCGAGCCAAACTCCATAACAATATCTTGGCTATATATACGGACAGTGTTGAGCAGCAATTCTATTTCAGATTATGTTTTTCCATACAACTTCAGATTATCCATGTAAAGGAGATGAGATAGTCTGGTAGATGTTTCATAGCCATGACCTGAGTTATTCAGTATTGTTGACAGAGGAAACAGTGCAATAACAAATAGTAATGGTGACAATGAATCTTCTTGAAATATTCCTCTCTTGATATTAACCTTTCCCAGTCTCTCACCATTGATCTGCAACTATGTCTTCCATTGTGCCATCGATCTTTGCACAAATTTTCTGATGTTTCTACTGAATAATAATAATAATAATAATAATAATTATTATTATTATTATTATTATTATTATTATTATTATTATTATTATTATTATTATTTCTTGTACTGGCTTCTGAGGGTACTTAGTGTTGAATTGCTTTACCAAACAATCCACTTTTACATGAGGAGTTTTTACCCATTTAGCTTCTGACATTGGATAACCCTCACATTGGATTAAGTACTGCAATTTTCTTTTTTGGATTCTGAAATTGAGGATTCATTTGACCTCATAATGCATTTTCCCCTCTACTAGTATTGCGGCTGGGGCTGCCTTCCCTACTGGTTTATTGTGGATCCCCAGTATGGCATCAGTAAGCTGCAATGGAATACTGGGTGCAGTTTATCCAATAACCTTGATAGTTTAAACTCTACTCTCACTGGATTCATGACCTTTATAATGGGGTAAAGACTTATGTACTTCGCTCCTAACTTCTTGATAGTTTGTCTCAACTTAAGATACTTAGTAGACAGATAAACTTTATCTCCTACATGGAGTGCCTCCTGGGGAGTTCTTATCTACATTTTTTTTCCTATTACTCCAAACATGTTGGAACATACCCACCCACTCACTCAGGGTGTTTGAGAAGGAGACTCCTGTGGACACTCTGGTATTGGCACAAATTCCACTCCTGTGGCTAGCTTAAATGGGGTTATACCGATGCTGCTGTGTTCTGCATTGTTATACGCTACCTCTGCAAATAGCAAAAGATCTGCCTAGTTTGTTTGTTGATAGTTGACATAGAAATGCAGGTACTGTTCCAGTATTGCATTAGCTTGTTCTGTAGCTCCATTTGTACTCAGACACTTTGTAACTTGACACTACATTTGAGTCCATTCCCACTTGCTGCTTTGCAGTTTTCTTTGAATCTGTAAAATGCTATTGATAGAATCATTGGGAGTGGGGCAATATAAAAAATGGATAGATGGATGGATAATTCTGTATCTATATGCTGATAAATAGTAATAATCTACAGGAAGAAAGAAGGGGAAAAGGCAGGCCAGGAGAGACTTTTCATTCTTCTAGCCTGCTTCTTTAATAAAAATTTGTAGACCGATGAAGATACAGCTTGCCAGCCTTTTTGCAGTAGCACATTACTGAGTCCATTATATATAGATATATCATTAATATTATTTATTTATTTATTTATTTTTGATTGATTTTTATCCCTCCTTTTATTCCTTAGATATTCCTAGATCTGAATGCAACCATCTATGTATTAATAATTGAGAATAATCACAAATCGAATTTGAATTCTAGTCCCATCTTAGGCACAAACTGGATGATTTAAGACCAGTCAGTCTTTCTCACCTCTGGGAAAAGCAATGATAAACAACTTCAAAAAATGAGGTCAAGTAAACTGTTTGGATAGGCAGTTGCCAAGAGTCAGGAGTGACATGAAGGCATGTGTGTGCGCACGTATACACACAGAGAGAGAGCGAGGGGGGGACACAGAGACAGAGAGGGAGAGAGAAGACAAATATTAAGAAGCTGCATTTTTTTTTAAATTTAAAACCCAAGTGGCTTGATACTGTTTTTAAAACTTATTTTAATTAAGTCATACATGGTAACTTAATTGCCTAAAGGGGCATATTCTGTTATGCAATATACTTTGTAGTTAAATTTAATGAAAATCTATATAATGGGAACTCAAAAGCTCTTAAGGTTCTTAGATTAGAACATTTCATTTTCTTTTGTCTACCCACCTGTGCAGGTAAGTCAGGCAGATTCCACTTTGAGGAGTCCTCCTTTTAGACAGTTATTAGAAAGTGATGTGATTCTCTTTCTTGTCCTAATTTCATATTCATATCGGTTCTCAGAATTTATTGCAAAGTTAGATTCAGTGATACATTTATGGAGTCATGTTTTTCTGGCTTGCACGTTTACCCAATTATTTCTATGGAAGTAATTTTTCTAATACATAAATCATATTTGTTTTGGCACAATTTTATACATACAAATATGCACTTACATCTAAATTGAGAAAATTAATATCAGGTAATCAAGACCACTCAAATTTATTTTATCTCTGGTTTTTATTGCTTGATATAATTGATACAACTTATCTGAATAGTGCTAAATACTATCATATTGATGATAGAAATTGATAGGGAATAATTGCATGATTGTATCAATTGTATCAATTGTTTTTCATTTTGTTGGTCACAATTGTAACAACATATTCATATTTGATTGTTAATCGTTTGTTGCATTTTAGCATAGCCATTCATTTTGGCATCTTAGGATAACAGGTTCCTTTTAAGTTTAATTATTTAATCTTATGATTCATAGATTTAATGCTCATAATTCTGTATTATATTTTATTGCTGCATATAATTCAACAGATGCCTTTAGGTATCTGTTTATTTTGCTGTTTGTTGTGGGAAATATTATATTTCATCTTAACATATTTATCTACAGTATATTGACTTATGTAGTTATGGGGAGAAAGGCAACAGTGTAATGCATCTTACAATTATAAATATCAATAGCTGTATTTTAAATTAAAAGATGAAATCTTAATTTTCATTAGCATTCATTGGAAATTGCACAATGTTAGAAATGATTATGAGTCACATACTAAGACATAATAACAACTGTTTCTTTAACCAAGTTGAATCTTCTTAATCTTTTTTTTTCTCCGAAACACAGAGTAGACTTTGGGGTATAAATATATATTTCCACTTAATTTTGGTCTATCTTATATTCATTATTTCATGATTATTTCTGTATTTTTGTCTGAAAGGTGCTCATGAAAAAGCACCTTTGGGACAACTATGACCTCAATGACTGAGAATTTCCATAGATTTCTATATTTTTTATATCTGTAGTCACATACCATCATGCTTTTCTCTATATATTATTCCTTTCATAATCATTCATACTTATTCACAGAACAAGATATGATAGTTTAATATTTTGTACATTAGTTACTATTATCATCCTGGGAATTTCTTTCTTGCTGGGAATTTCTTTCTTGGAATTGCTATATACTGTGAGTTGAGCAGCAGCTGTACATTCAGGGCAAGTGCATCTGAGATTCCTTGTATCTAAGAATGCCTGGCTTAGTACAGTGCAACACTTGCTTTGCAGCTGTTTTTTGCAGTACCCTCTTCAAACTCAGAAACTGTCCTATCTGTAAACAAATCACTGTCTACAAGGACAGATTATCTATCTAGGCTATGTAATCTGTGTTCTTCAGGCAGAAATTAGTGTCCAGTTCAGCCCTTCTACTCTATTGAGCCTCTGCGCTATCAGCCCCTTCTACCACAAAGATCCTGTAGGAGAAAGGCAGTGTGGACAACCATGGGATCTGGAAGGGTGAGAGCTGTGAATCTTAAACACAAAGCTTTTGCTGTGTCCCTGCACAACAGATACAGTGCCCTTGCTGACCTTAATAGGGAAATTAAGGAGACAGGTAAAAGTATTTGTGATGATAATTCAAATAAGCAGGGGATCATGGACTGAGATGAAGTACTTGTTTTTGACAGGGAGAAGTGTGAATCAGTTATTATATATCAGTCATGCAAGAACAGAAAGACATGCAAAAAGAGAAGCCACCTTCTAGTTGGTGATTCAATTATAAGGGGTGTAAATTTAAGAAAGGACAGAGAGGTTTCAAAAGAGGTCAGATGTCTCCCAGGTGCTACTGCCAGTAGGGACAAGAAGCATATTTCTAAAATAATCAATAATGCCAGCAAGGACTGCAATGTGGAGGCTATTGTACATCTTGATACTAACAATCTGTCCCAAAAAGATGTACTCTCTGTGCAAAATGATTTCCAGAGCTTGGGGCAGGAACTTACCAAAATAGGCTGTAGGCTAACTTTTTCAGAAGTTTTACCAGTGTATAAAGAGCAAAATAGAAAAGGCCAGTGTATAGCACAATTCAATATGTGGCTAAATAAGTGGTGTAAAAGGGAAGGCTTTGGATATATTAGTCACAATGTCAGTAGCTGGTCCAATGAAAAAATGTACAAAAGAGATAGTTTGCATCCATCAAAGAAAAGGACTGAGTTACTCGGCTATAAATTCACAGATTTTCTGGAGGAATATTTAAACTAAAAAGCGGGGACAGTGAGTTAATTGATATAGAACATCCCTGTCCCCAGCAATATAAAAACAATAGGGCTATCAGTGCATGAAACATAGATGTGTGTGTGGACAAGAATACCAACCTTGCTGTCAAGCAAAATCAAGCTTTCAATAACGAGTGCCACACAAAGTGCACTAACCAAATAGGTGGTAAGACAATAGGGGAACTCGGGAACCACACAGGTTATGTAGAAAGTAAACACATAAAGGACTCAAATGTCTATACACCAATGCACAGAGTATGAACAGCGAACAGGGTGAACTAGAAATTCAGGTTAATGAGGGCAGATATGATATTGTTGCCATTACAGAAACATGGTGGGATGAAACCCACAAATGGAACACAAAGCTACAGGGATTTAAATGATTTAAAAGAAACAGACCAAATAAAAGAGGAGGTGGAGTTGCTCTCTATATAAGAAATAACTACATATCTACAGAAATAGAGCACAACAATGATGAAAACTGCCTTGAATGCATTTGGGTCAATATAAAAGGGAGAATAAATGACATTGCCATAGGTGTATACTATAGGCCACCCAACCAAACAGAGAAATAGATGAACTTTTTGCTAGTCAGCTAAGGTACATAGGAAGCAAATCACAATAGTAACGGGGAACTTTAACTACCCTGACATCAACTGGGAGACAAACTCTGCACCAAGTGGAAGATCAAACAGATTCCTGACAAACCTAGCAGACAACTTTGTCTCCCAAAAAGTAGACAAGGGAAGTAGGGGATTAGCCATTTTGGATCTAATTCTCACTAACAGGGATAAAATGATAGAATGTGTTGAAGCCACAGGAACCTTGGGAGGTAGTGATCATACAATATTGGAATTCAACATTATGGAAGCACAAGCAATAGAACATAGTCAAAGTAGAGTCTTGGACTTCAAGAGAGCTAATTTCAATAAACTTAGAGAGGGCTTGGGAAGGATTCCCTGGATGAGAATCCTCCAGGGGAAAACAACTCAAGAAGCTTGGGAAATTTTGAAAAGCGAGATAATAGAAGCTCAGTCTAGCACAATACCAACAAAGAGGAAAAATAACAACTCTCAAAAGAAACCAGCATGGCTGCATAAAGAACTCTCTGATAAATTGAAAGATAAAAAGGACAAGTATAAAAAGTGGAAAGAGGGGCACATAACTAAATCAGAATATCAACAAATAGCCTGAGCCTGCAAAGATGAAGTGAGGAAATCTAAGGCTCATAAAGATCTAAGGCTTGCAACCAAAGTCAAAAATAACAAAAAAAGCTTCTTTCAACATGTAAAAAACAAGAAGAAAGTGAAGGAAATGATTGGTCCATTAGTGGGTGAAAGTGGCAAGAAGGTGACAAGCAACAGGGAGAAAGCAGAACTATTTAACTCATTTTTTGCATCTGTCTTTACACAAAGGGAAAAAACAGACCAACCTATACAAAATAGTGCCATAAAAAACAGTATAGAAACACAAGATAGGCAAGAAAATGGTAAGTGAGCACCTGTCCAGCCTAGATGAGGTTCAAATCAAATCACCAGGATCAGATGGATTACACTCCAAGGTTCTCAAGGAACTAGCAGATGTGATCTCAGAAACACTGAACTATACTTTTCAAAGATCTTGGAGCACTGGGGAATTACCAGAGGACTGGAAAAGAGCTGATGTAGTTCCCATCTTCAAAAAAGGAAAAAAAAAATGGATCCAAGAAATTACAAACCTATCAGCCTGACCTCAATACTGGGAAGATTCTGGAAAAGATAATCAAACAATGAATCAACAAACACCTAGAGGCAAACAAAATGACTACTAAAAGCTAACATGGGTTTGTCAAAAACAGATCATGCCAGACAACTCTTATTGCATTCTTAGACCAAGTGACAAAATTAGTGGATCAGAGGAATGCTGTGAATATAATTTACTTGGACTTCAGTAAGGCATTTGATAAAGTAGATCACAACCTACTATTCAATAAGATAGAAAAATGTGGGTTAGACAGCATCACCACCAGATGGATTTGTAGCTGGCTGACCAGCTGTACTCAGCATGTAGTCCTCAATAGAACTGCATCTACATGGAGGGAAGTGTGTAGTGGGGTGCCCCAGGGCTCTGTTCTAGGACCAGTGTTCTTCAACATCTTCATGAATGATTTGGACTAGGGGATAGATGGGGAACTCATCAAATTTGCAGATGACACCAAGCTGGCAAGAATAGCCAACACTCCAGGAGTGCTTAAGATACAGGAGGACCTGGACAGACTTGAACACTGGACAGACTTGAACACTGGGCGCTAGATAACAAAATGAAATTCAATGGTGAAAAAAGTAAGGTTCTACATTTAGGCAAGAAAAAAAATATGTATAATATACTATTATAGGGGGTACCTTGCTCAATAGTATTAACTGTGAGAGGGATCTCGGAGTTCTAGTGGACAATCACTTAAATATGAGCCAGCAGTGTGCTGCAGCTGCCAAAAAAAACCAACTCAGTGCTGGGCTACATTAACAGAGGGATAGAATCAAGATCACATGAAGTATTAATACCACTTTACAATGCCTTGGTAAAGCCACACTTGGAATACTGCATCCACTTTTGGTCACCACGATGTAAAAAAGATGCTGAGACTATAAAAGAGTACAGAGAAGAGCAACAAAGATGATTAGGGGACTGGAAGCTAAAACATATAAGGAACGGTTGCTGGAATTGGGTATGTCTAGTTTAATGAAGAGAAGGACGAGGGGGGACTTAATAGCAGTGTTCCAATATCTCAGGGGCTGCCACAAAGAAGAAGGAGTCAAGCTATTCTCCAAAGTGCCTGAAGGCAGGACAAGAAGCAACGGATGGAAACTAATCAAGGAGAGAAGCAACCTAGAACTAAGGAGAAACTTCCTGACAGTTAGAACAATTAACCAATGCTCCAACACTGGAAGATTTTAAGAAGAGACTGGACAGCCATTTGTCTGAAATTGTGTAGGGTTTCCTGCCTGAGCAGGGGGTTGGACCAGATGACCTCCAAGGTCCCTTCCAACATCATCATTACCATCACCATCATCATTATCATCATCATCATCATCATCATCATCATCATCATCATCATCATCATCATCATCTCTACCAGTTGCCTTTTTATGCCATTTATGAAAAAGGAAAACATCCGTGATGAAAAGTTAAGTGTTTTTTTCTGGTGAAACCAGTCTATCAGAACAACCTGGTCTACCCAAATATGGGACGGAGCATACTCTTTCCGCTTCCACCTTTCAGCCCCAATCTAGGAACCTTCACAGGCCATCACTTCTGTGACAAACTATTTCTGTGTTAAATTTAAATTTACTGACAAAGAATTAAAGGCAGAGTAGTATAGCAATTTTTGAGCTAGCTGATGACAGCTAAATAGCTCAAAATAGCTATACTAGTCTCCCTTTAATTCTTTGTCGGTAAATTTAAATTTAATATCTGTGATGAAAAAAGAAGGTAACTCAGGGTCAAATGTTTTCTATTGGTTGAGATAGTTTTCATGGGCAATATTAAGCAAAGCAAAAACATATATATATATTGCTTAACTGGGAATTCTAGCAGAAAGTTTTTATAGGCTTCCCATAGCCAGAAAAAGTGAATGTCTCTTAAGTATCAAGAATATGTTTCACAGTATCCCTAATGTTTCCTAAATGCCATACTTTTATTAATCAGTGTTATATATAAAAGAGATAATTAAATTTCAAATGCAAATATAAATAACATATCATATTTCTATCATTTTTTCAGTCCGGTTACTATCTGAATGATGGGACAAACCAATCAGTCAGTTGTCAAAGAGTTTGTATTTGTGGGATTCTCCAGAGAACAAGGAATTAATCAATGCTTGTTTGTGATTGTCCTCTCCATGTATCTCATTACTCTTGTGGGTAATTCACTTATCATCATAGCTATCCACACTGATGCACGACTGAACACACCAATGTACTTCTTCTTAGGCAACTTGTCTTTTTTGGATATATGTTTTACAACCAGTGTGGTGCCTCAGCTGCTGGTCCATTTCCTAACTAGTCACAAAAGTATCTCTTTCAGCAGATGTATGATTCAGCTTTGCATCTCTTTAACTTTTGGCAGCACTGAATTCATTCTATTGGCAGCCATGGCTTATGATAGATATGTAGCTGTCTGCTTTCCCTTGCACTATGAGGTCATCATGAGAAAGAAAGTGTGCATCCAGCTGGTACTGGCTTCCTGGACTGGTGGATTTCTTAATGCTGTGATACAGACTGGGTTCACCATGCATCTTGAGTTCTGCTCATTCAACACCATCAATCATTTTGCTTGTGAAGTCCTTGCTGTTATAAAATTAGCTTGTTCAGAGTTGTTTGCTAATGAAATCTCTCTGATGGTGGCAGGATTCATTATCCTCCTAATTCCCTGCATTGTGGTAATTCTTTCCTACATCTATATAATCCATGCAATTTTGGCAATTCATTCTTCTCAAGGTCGCTATAAAGCCTTCTCCACATGTACTTCTCACCTCATGGTGGTTACCCTCTGCTATGGCACAGCAGCCTTTGCTTATATGAACCCCAAAAGTAGCAAATCTTCAAATCAGGATAAGATCCTTGCTTTCTTCTATGCAGTGGTTACACCAATGTTCAACCCCCTCATATATAGCTTAAGAAACAAAGAAGTAAAAGGAGCTCTGAGTAAAATATCAGGGAAACATATTTCTGCAGAAAATGAATAAATCATTTGTGTACTGTGAATTTATGTACAATGTTATAAGGACATAATACTAACACAAATTCCATAGTTTTAATGTGTTTAGATAATGCAAACTTCTAGATGTATTAATATGAACACCTTAAGAGTAATCCATATGAATGAATACCCCATTTGATGAAAGCGAGCACAGAGACACTTTTATGACCTTTTAGATTAAAATGTTTTTGTGTTTAAAATAAGAAAGTTGGGAGCAAGGAAGACAAAAAATATACTATGTGTGGTGTCTTTCTCTTCTGCATCAGTTTCTCATATTCAGGCAAATGTTCAAAAAATTCTACATTGTTCTGATGTTGTAAGGATCATTAAACCTGTATAAGCATTAATTATATAATGTTGATTATGGAAAACTGAGAATATATTTGATTAATGTGTACATTTCTTTAAGACTCTTCACAATGAGAGCATCTGGATTGATGTAACTGTCAGTATAGGAAAGCATAATGTGTTAAAATAATTGTAGTATTACTTGAAAGCAATTATTGTATTACTTAGCCAAATCTCATGTATAGAATCTGTCATTCAACAGTGCTGCCAAATTATTAATAGTGAGCTATCTTGTCACAGATGGTGGTAATGGCAATCAGAGGAACAAAAATATTTAATCATCTGAAATTTCAAAATTCCTTTTCTGTTGCATTCTCTTTTCAAATGACACTCCAGATTCTATTTTAATTTCATTTCATTTTCAATTTAAAAGCTATTTGACATGAAATTTATTATGTCCTTTGACCTGTTGTAATGAACAGTAGGTATAAAAATTATCACTTTTATTTATTTGAAGAGCTCTCTGCATCTGATACTTTGTGACTGGCAGCTAAACATGTGAGTTTGATACCATGAAATTTTGCTATCATGGATATGATAATCTTAGGTTGAAGACCTGCTTCTGTAATTTCAGTTAGCTCATGGCTAATTTTCAAGTTTAAATTAAGTCTATCAGATAAATATGAAAATATAAAGTGAAAATTTGCATTTAAGAGTACATATACCATCTAACTGAGCTATATAATCCAATGATTATCTTTCTCCCCCTTCACACACATAGACAGACACAGATACTCATAACAAAAACAGACATATTTATAGCATCAATCAACTGCATCTTTATTTATATTTAATTGTTTAAAATACTTACAGTGTATGATTCCCTATCTTTCATAGCACAACTCTGAAAGACTCACAACACACATTTCAAGCATACCAAGACTTGAGGAGTGGCAATGGGAGAAAAACATCTTTAACATTAAAAATATGTTCCAGAAAATCAATAACATACAAGATGTATTGAAATCGTGATGTTACATTTCCACCTAGTGATTTTTAGCAATATCATGAGATTATTATGATGATGTACCACTGGTACACATAGACTTTGGCTCGTCACAGTGAAAACTATAAAAAATTGCTCTGAAAGTCTTATATAAAGATCTTCTTGGTGTGTAATGCAACTTGTCGTGCAGCAATCCTTATGACAATATATCCCTAATATAGTTAGGGCTTATTTTCTCACAGCAAAGTTTAGCTGGAATCTATTTGTAATTGAGCTTGAATGTGAAAAACTGATATATCTAGGAAGGTTCTCAATATTTTTTTTATTTTTATTGATATAACTTACTATGTAAACTAATTAAACTAATTAAAATATACAAATTAATCTAATATCATTAGGGGATCAATGCAATTTTAAAACGAATACAAAAAAGGAAGGATGTGGGGCAGCAGGAAATGTTCTAAAGAAAACATCTCCAAAACTTTGGCCATATTGTTTCAAAGTTGTCAACTTTGCCCCTTTGTGAAAAAGAAAAAAAAAATCACCTTAAATCAGTGTTGGCAAACAGCACATATCTACAATTTATTGTCACAGAGGATTTTTGCATCTAGATGTTTTTTCTCCTATATCTCTTTTTGTCTAGACGTGTATCTAATTGTCTTGATGATTGCCTGCAAGTTCGTGAAAATTTCTTGGCAACATTTTCAAAAGAGGCTTGTCGTTGCTCTCTTCCAAGGACTAAAAGAAAGTGATTGGCCCAAAATTGCCCAAACCTGTGCCTGATGTAGACTAGAGCTTGTTTTTGCCCAGTTTCTAGGCCTGTTTTTTTTAAACACTACACTAAACTTTAAACTCCCCTTTACTATTATATAATAATAATAATTTTAGCCAATCTTCATAAGTGAAAAATTCATAATGTTTGGTATTTCAATAGATTTCATATATGGAGAACAAATGCAGGAATAACTTATACTGCATTCAAAGATGCTATCAGTTCAAAATGAAGCTCTAAAAACAAGCAATATGAATTAAATATGACTCTGGATTTAAATTTATAACTTCAGGATGATTATAATCATCATATAATAAACAATAAATATTACTGCAGTACCTAGTGCATACAAGACATTGTTTCTATGTATTAGTTTCACTATAGCATTCAGCTATACCACATGGATCATTTTATTAGCACAGATGATGGAGTTTTAATTTTGGCAAACCCCACTGCTGCATTAAAGATATGATTAAACTATTTTATAGAAATATTTAAACTTAATAGAAGTAAATATAAAACTATAATTAACTTCTGTACATCATTAAGATAGATAACAATTTTTATAGTCCTCAAGAATGTAACAAGATAGCTCTACAATTTTTGTTGTACTCCTAATACATTCACTTTGTCTTCTATCCATTATAAAGTACATTCCTATGTTATTAGTGTGATACTTTTGTATTAAAGCAGAATTTAGGAAGTGAATATAAAAGCAACATTTTAAACATTTTTTCAGATATATTATGGACTTCCAAATCCTTATGCTTAGTCCACATAGACACATAATTCCAATGTTCAGCATCTGTGGCACTTAGAGGAAAACAAAATGTAAACAGTCCTTGAATGGAGGAAGAAAGCTTCTATTTTTAAATTAATACTTCCAGTTCAAATATAAAAAAAACATTTGTAACTTAGCTGACTTTCCCCATTGTTTTGACCAAAGCTTCCTTAACATCCTTGTTTCTCAGGCTATAGATGATGGGATTCAGCATGGGAGAGACCAAAGCATAAAAGACTGAGGCCTTTTTCTCTTGGTCTGCTACATGATGAGATCTTGGCTTTAAGTAAGTGAAGCCAATGGTAGTGTAAAACAATGTAACAACAGTAAGGTGGGTAGCACAAGTGGAGAAGGCTCTTCGATGACCTTTAGTTGAGAGCATGCTGAGCACTACTCTGGCAATGTGGACATAAGAAACCATTATGAAGGTAAAAGGTAGCATGAGTACAATCACACTCAGGGCAAAAATGAGTGCCTCTGCCATATATGTATCCATACAGGCCAGTTGAAGCATTGCAGGTAACTCACAATAGAAATGATTAATCTGATTGGGTCCACAGAAAGGAAAACTGATAGTGATGGCTGTCAGTACAGAAGCATTAAAAAATGCTGTGACCCAGCAGATCCCTGCCATCTTCATGCATACACGTATTCCCATGATGGTGGGGTATCTTAGAGGCTGACAAATTGCCACATAACGGTCATAGGCCATGAAAGCCAGAATGAAGCACTCAGTCATTCCACAGGAAAGACTCATGTTAAGTTGGGCCATGCATCTATTGAATGAAATTTTATTGACTCCAGAAGCTATGTGTACAAGCATCTGAGGGACAGTGATTATTGTGAAAAGTATGTCCAGCAAAGAGAGATTACCAATGAAAAAATACATAGCTGTGTGGAGGTTGGAGTGACTCCAAACCAGAAAGATAATGAGACTATTTCCAATTACTGTGGCCAGAGCCATGACAAGACACATCACAATGAAAAGACGCTGCAATGTAGGATGATTGGTAAAGCCAAGAAGAATAAATTCATTCACTGTGGTTCTATTTGAGCCCCACATCTTCTTTACTTGGCACCTGGAAAAATAAAACTAAATAAGTCAATAGGAAACTCTTATTTCAGTCAGCTTCCTATTCATGATAAAGTTGATATTATATCATACAGTTTAAGAAGTCTTGGGTCCAATTTCCTATTCAAATCTTCTGTCCCCTACCGCTACCCACCTCATCTTCTTACACAAAAAGATATTGCTTCTAATCTCATAAACATTTATGTTACTTTCTAATTTGCTGCTTCTCAGTTCTGCCCAATATAGTCTTTTCTGATGTAATAATTAATAATAATAATAATAATAATAATAATAATAATAATAATAATAAAAAAGTTGGAAGGGACCTTGGCGGTCATCAACCCCCTGTTCAGGCAGGTAACCCTATACTATTTTGGACAAATGGCTGTCCAGTTTCTTGTTAAAAACTTCCAGTGTTGGAGCATTCATAACTTCTGGAAGCAGGTAGTTCCACTGGTTTATTGTTCTAACTGTCAGGAAGTTTCTCCTTGTAGTGGGTTTACATTTGCTTTAATCTTATTCACAGTTTGTTTATGTTCAATAGAAGGAACTAGGTTCATCAGGACATTGAATTCATATAAATTTATATAAATTTAAATATTTTTTTAAAAAATTGAAATTTGGGGACAGCTCAAATTTTAAAGACATATCCTTTTTAGCTTATAAATTACAACATATTTTGCTTTCCTTTTTTTATGATGATTTGTTGCTATCAGCCAGATGTTTATTCTGGATTTTTATTCACTTACTGAGTTCTTCCCAATTATTGTTTTATCTTTTTTTAGATGGTGCAAGGATTTTAAGCATATTTAATGTTTTTTTTCCTTATGTGTAAACAGGGCCCTATTGATTTCTATACAAAGAAATGCTGAGCAGGCATGCAGTGCACAGATAATTTTACAATTATATAGATATAGTCATATATATCTATGTATATGTATTATATATATTATGTATATGTATTATATATACTATTCCTAAGTAGCTTTGTTTATCACAATGTTGCCAAGTTACAGGAAGATCCTATTTCTGTAGATATGCATAAGTTTGTGGCTTGCTAAAACTTGCTCCATCAAGTTTTTTCTATAACTGATCTATGCATAAATGTCAGCGGGTAATTATTCTGTGTCATTTTTATTACAACCAGAAAAAGACATCAAACCAGTGCACTAGAATTAAAAGTATCTTAAAAAACCATGTAAACATGGTTGAAATCCTTTCCCTTGAAATATTAGTGTAGTATTTTCTTTGAAAAGCTTGTGTGATTTCAGGGGCTTTTCTGAGTTGTCTACATGTTCATATAAATATATATATATCAAACTTATTACTTGAAGCAGAAGTCAAATGTATGTGCATTTATATTTGCAAACATCTGGGGAAAGCTTTCTAAAAGATATAGCTCCTTTAACATTTTAGAAAGAAGTACTTTACTGATACATGCTTTGCAAAACATTTTTTTTAAATACTTTGCACAATTCTATAAAAAAAGAGTACTAAATATATTCAACAAATTTTGCTGAAAGAGGTTCCTCTGATCCATAATTCAAGTTTATTTTGTAAATATGCATGATTCATTTCATAAAGGATTATTGTGGTATATAAAGTAAATACATTTAATTTTGAATAAATGGGAAGAGGAGGGGGGAAGTTGAATTAAACATATTTTGGTAACTTTGTCCTCATTAATTTGGAAGTATTCTCCTTGCTGGAGAAAATTCCTGTGTGCTATCCCCAAACAACTGCCTTTACATAAAATGCATAGAAATAAGTTAACTCTTCCCACCTTGGAATCCATATATTTTCCATTTATATAGCCAATAAGCAAGCACTGAATATCTGAATATCTATAAAGTATAAATATTTATTTATATAACAATCAAAAACAAAAGTACATCCCTGGTTGCTGGAATTATGATGTCAAGATGTTAGCTCTCCAACTTCTCACTGCAGTTAGAAAGAAAAACACTTTTGAAAAGGAGTTATGATCTTTATATGGAATTTACTAGTACACATTACAAGAAGAAGAATGCATCTTGTCAATGCCTCCACCATTATTCATCTTCTAATCATGTAAAAACCTTCCAGATGCTTTGGTATGGATGCCTTATGCTAACTCAGCTGCACAAGTGCATCTCAGTTTTGGTCTTTAAAAATTACAAATACATCAGTAGCTGTGTTGATCCATTTGGAAATACACATATTCACATAATATACATACAAGCACATATGAAAATAATAATGGAACTATAAAACTAAAAAAAAAATACAATACCTTTAACGGGTAATACTAAAGCCCCAAAGAAGTGGTGAACAAGAAAAATGAATAACTCAATTATCTACTTGTTCTATGTGTAGGTGAAATAGGACAGTTAGCATATTATCTTCCATAGTTCACTTAAGAAATTAAATCCTTGGAGGAGTCCAATCTCATTATCTTTTATTGTCCATAGAGATTTAATTGCTTGAAAATCCTGTTAACTTTTAAAGGAAAACTTTCTCAAACAGGGAAAATCATTTTCAGAAGAATTCAGACCATAATGTTGAAAATGGAATAACAATTTGGAGTGTAAGAAGCCTGTTTAATTTGATCAAACTTTGATCAAAGTTTTTCTATAAATATAAAACATAAAATCAAATGGTTTCCCCACTAACAGTGACATGGAGCAGCCACACTATTTTCTTGTGTTGATATGTGGAATGTTGTGTCCAAAATGTCTTCAAATGTCTCCAAAATATCTTCTACTAAGATGAATAAATTGATGGTGAATTGATTTTCAAGGCATAGGATGATTCCCCTAATTGGATAGGGCCATTTCCCATCTTATTGGAAATCACATTCTCAGTATAGGTAGTGTGTCTTGGAGCTAAGTGTGTTCTAAAACTTGCTGTAGACATATTGAAAGAGTAATAACCAGTTCTTCCTGAAAGCTATTGCAAAATTACTTACCAAGAGTCAACTGATTACAAACAGCTAATCTAAGTAATGCCACTAGATTTGCAATGACGCTAAAGAGGCCATCCTCACCATATGCTTAGCATTTAACTGGCTATTCCCAGGGTTCTGGTTTGTATCATGACTTTGGTATCCATTGCCTATCTGTGTTACCGCTGCTCCTCATGCCAACTTCAGCCATATTGAAAAATATTAATAGGAGAAGGAATGTAAAAACTTAGCTATCCACTTCAAGCCAATCAATCTCTATGCTGTATTCTGACACTTTCATAGGCTTAAGGGCTTAGAGAAAGTTGACATCATCATACAAATCCATAAATATATGCCCTACTTGAAGATGTAATGTCTGAAAAATTATGATAGTATCATTTGAATATAGTTGCATGGCAGCTATAGTCTAGCCCATGACTCCTTGGTGGGAAAAAGACATTCAGCACATTATTTATCATCAGATGGGTGGCTTACTTGATCCTCCTATTTAATTTTTGCTCCCTCCCATTGTTTAGTGAGGGGACCATGACAAAAGCTGTGTGTCAAAAGCTCATTCATCTGGAGCAGAAATATCAAGGATGCTGTTATTATTTTCATTCTCTTCACAAAAGTTGAACTTTTTTGCAGAAAGCTCTATTTCTCTTCCATTCTGTCCTCTAATATCATGGATGAAAATAGGACACACAATAGAGCAAAGGTATACAACTATTGTTCTAGATACTCTTTTGGATTGAGAAAGTCAAAAGTTGATATAATAAATAGCTCAAAGTTCTAATCCAAAAAAGTCATAGAAGATTCTCAGAGTAATAGCTATATCCTTTACAAAAGAATGTTTCAACAAAGTAACAGAAAACCTCTTGCTCTTCTTATCATCTATCAACATTTCCCTCCTTAGTGTCATATTACACATAATTCCCAAAATTCTCTCCAAAAGTTGTCATCAGCATTTTTAAAAAGGGGAAATGGACTATATTGTGAGTAATCAATAATTCTAGTAAACTTAATTTAAATCAAATTACTTTTTGTTTTCTTTTGGTACCACCCACATCTTTGACTTCATATTTTTAGAATACTACTCAAACAATAAATATATCTTTGATTTAGAAGACAGATTTTAATCATGCTAGTTCCAATTATTCATTTTATTCTCTAGGGTTGTTTGGTGTTTGGGAATTAAGATATTAAAAGCCTGCTTTTTTTCTTTCTTTCTTTTGTGCTAATGTCATGTATGGAAGCAAATTGAGAGGAAAAAATCAATTAGTTCTACTTAGCTGCTACTGAAAAAGGCATAGTAATGCTTTAATTTAAAAGTAATTTACACAGAAGCGAGTAACTGTAGATATATCTTCACAAAAATTAAGACCAATTCAAACCTAGGTAAGGAAAAAATTGGATATCTGTTTGTTAGAGATTATATTAGCACAGTATAGAAACAGATTTATGTGTATACATACCTGTAGATATGCATATGCATATACATATTTAAAGTTTTATAAAAATATTTTATAATATAGAGCTCTTTTATATTTTTTTAAAACATTCACAGAAGAAATCAAGAATTACAGGCTTCTTAATCACCCAAAGATATTTATTTTTCTGGATTCCCCCCCCCCATTTCTAAGGGGTACAAAAGAGGTGAATCTCATTATAAGATCATCATTTTTAAAGCATTAATTTCACTAATGGTGTAGGAATAGAAAAAGTTTTATACAGTGATGAAATAAGTGCTTTATTTTATTTTACATCAGGGTTTCAGGTTTTTTGTTTTCATCATTTGGTTTCAATGGAGATTATATTCTTTCAGTTGTATTTGGCTTATATTACTAACTCTCAGAATGTAGTGAGTGAGAAAATATATTCTAAAACTACATTGTTTTTAAACAAGATCATGTTTAAGCCCTGCATCTGCAAGATTTAGGCATATATCTAATAAAACAAATAGACAATAAATTTCATGGACAGAAGACCATTGCCATATTGTACTACTCATAAAAGCTTCTCACTGCATTAATACAAGAGCATGTAAAACATTTTTTGTCTAAATATTTCCCCCCTTAGACATAGTATGCTTAAATTACTACCTTTATATACATGACTAAGGAAACAGCTTCTTGAAAAGGGTGCCAATACAGATGTTACTACATAGAGCATCTATATATTCATATTGATTTTAATAAATGCCTCTCCCAGTGTCATGTTACTATTGCCAGTGTCCCACTCAGATGTGCTATTATAGCTTTTTGCTTGAAATCAACATATCCTGAAGGTAGATTTTGTAAATGAACTCTTGAACAGTGTCTCTGTCCTGGTGGGGTTGGTCAAATGGAAGACATTATTTATTATGTTCTTCACTATTCAATTTATTTGACTGGTAGTCTGTCTTGGCAGCTATATAAATGTTTCAAGTAAATAAAAATAATTATTTTAAATAAATAAAAATAAATAAAAATGAGACCATTGACAAATTATTCATGGTTGGTGAATTCAAGGCCTTGGACCTGAAGTGATTATTTTCTTGCAGATATGTTTCCCATTGTCAGTAATCAGATTGCTATTTTTATTTTTGTCATTATTTAAAATTACAAATAAAGGTTATGTTGTTTATTGTGGTCTATCTACCTACTGTATCTATCTATCTATCATCTATCATCCTCATCCTCTTCCTCCTTATCATTTTTTTTGTTTCTAACACTCTTATTGCTTTATTGTATTGCTATTTTGCTTGTAGATGTTGAGACTCTAGGAAGAATACAGAGAAGAGCAACAAAGATGATCAGGGGACTGGAGGCTAAAACATATAAGGAACTGGAATTGGGCATGTCTAGTTAAATGAAGAGAAGGACGAGGGGGGACATGGTAGCAGTGTTCCAATATCTCACGGGCTGCCACAAAGAAGAGGGAATCAAGCTATTTTTCAAAGCACCTGAAGACAGGACAAGAAGCAATGAATAGAAACTAATCAAGGAGAGAAGCAATCTAGAACTAAGGAGAAACTTCCTGACAGTTAGAATAATTAACCAGTGGAACAACCTGCCTCCAGAAGCAGTGAATGCTCCAACACTGGAAGTTTTTAAGAAGAGACTGGACAGCCATTTGTCCAAACTGGTATAGGGTTTCCTGCCTGAGCAGGGGGTTGAACTAGATGACCTCCAAGGTCCCTTCCAACAGTGTTGAGCAGCGATTATATTTCAGATGATGTTTTATTATTATTATTATTATTATTATTATTATTATTATTATTATTATTATTATTATTATTATTATCGATCATCGCACAGTCAGCCAGATGTTCAGACTGGATTTGGCATTTTGTCTACCTATCGAGTCCTTACCCAGGACCTGGGATAGGCAGATGTGGATGTTTGATGGTATTACAGATATCGTCGCAGGATGGAAGCAGTTCCTAGTAAGGCCGCCTTTTGCAATTGACTAATAGCGAATTTGTCAATGCCAATGGTGTTCAAGTGGTGCTCCAGTTGTTTTGGGATTGCACCCAAGGAGCCTATGACTATTGGTACTACCCTTGCTTGCTTTTGCCACAGTCTTTCTATTTCTATTTGTAGGTCTTGGTATTTTGTTATCTTCTCCAGTTCTTTCTCTTCTATTCTGCTGTCTCCAGGCACTGCCACGTCCACTATCCAGACTTTTTTGTCTTTCTTATCGACAATTGTTAAGTCTGGGGTTTATGTTGCAGGTGCTTGTCTGTTTGAATTCTGAAGTCCCAGAGCAGTTTAATTTTATCATTTTCTATGACTTTCTCTATTTTATGATCCCACCAGTTTTTGCTTACAGGCAAATGATATTTTTTGCAGATCTTCCAATGCACCATTGTTGCTACTTTGTCATGTCGCTGCTTGTAATCAGTCTGTGCAATCTTCTTGCAACAGCTTACCAAGTGGTCCACTGTTTCTTCAGCTTCTTTGCATAGGCGGCACTTACTGTCTGTTGCTGTCTTCTCAATTTTGACTTTGTATGCATTTGTCCTTAAGGCTTGGTCTTGTGCAGCCAGAATTAGTCCCTCGGTCTCTTTCTTCAATTTTCCTGCTCTTAGCCATTGCCAGGTTTTATTGTTATCTGCTTTCCCAGCTATTTTTTCATGTATTGGCCATGTAGTGCTTTGTCTTCCCATGCCTCTATTCTGTTCTTCATTTGGTCTTTCTTGTAGGCCAGTTTGGTCTCTCCAGTAGTTAGTAAGCCTTCCTGATATACTAATTTCAGTGCATCTTCATCATTGTTCTTCAGATATTCTTCCAAAGCCATTTTTTCTTCTTCAACCATCTGATGTACTTGTAGCATTCCACGCCCACCCTATTTGCCTTGGTAGATAAAGTCTATCAATGTCACTGCGTGGATGAAGGGCATGATTCATTGTCATTATTTTTCTGGTCTGCCTATCCATTGCTTTTAGTTCTGCTTGAGTCCAGTCCACTATTCCAGCTGTGTACCTAATGACTGGAATTGCCCAGGTGTTGATTGCCTTTATGGTATTTCCTCCATTGAGTTTGGACTTTAAGATCTTCTTCACTCTCTTGATGTATTCACCTCTAATCTTTTTCTTGACTTCAGTGTGCTTGATGTTGTCAGCTTGAAGGATACCCAAGTATTTGTAGTAATCTTCCTCATCCAGACTCTTAATGTTATTTTCGTGGGGCATCTTGATTCCCTCAGTTTTCATTATTTTTCCTTGTTTGATAGTAAGTGTGGCACATTTGTCCAAGCCAAACTCCATTACAATATCTTGGCTATATATACGGACAGTGTTGAGCAGCGATTCTATTTCAGATGATGTTTTTCCATACAGCTTCAGATCATCCATATAAAGGAGGTGGGATAGTCTGGCAGATGTTTTTGATGTTTGATAGCCATGTCCTGAGTTATTCAGTATTGTTGACAGAGGAAACAGTGCAATAACAAATAGTAATGGTGATAATGAATCTCCTTGAAATATTCCTCTCTTGATATTAACCTCTCCCAGCCTCTCACCATTGATCTGCAATTGTGTCTTCCATTGTGCCATTGATCTTTGCACAAATTTTCTGATGTTTCTACTGACTCCTGTTATTTCTAGGCACTTTATTATCCAATCATGTGGCAGAGAGTCAAATGCCTTTTTGTAGTCAATCCATGCTACATTCAGGTTGGTCTTCCTTCTCTTGCAGGTTTCCAAGATCATTTTATCTATTAGGAGTTGATCTTTTGTTCCTCTGCTGTTGGGGTGGTTTCCTTTCTGCTCAGGTGGAAAGAGATTGTTTTCAACTAGATGCTGTTGCACTGCATCAGCTACTACACCAGTTAATAATTTGAAAGTTGTTGGTAAGCAGGTAATTGGCCTGTAGTTACCTGGTGTTGCCCCTTTTGCTGGATTTTTCATTATTAGATAGGTTTTCCCAGTTGTTAGCCACTTTTCAATTTCTCCTCCTTGTAGTATAAGAAATTATTACTATTATTATTATTATTATTATTATTATTATTATTATTATTATTGATCATCGCACAGTCAGCCAGATGTTCAGACTGGATTTGGCATTTTGTCTACCTATCAAGTTCTAACCCAGGACCTGAGGTAGGCAGATGTGGATGTTTGATGGTATTACAGATATCGTCACAGGATGGAAGCAGTTCCTAGTAAGGCTGCCTTTTGCAATTGACTAATAGCGAATTTGTCAATGCCAATGGTGTTCAAGTGGTGCTCCAGTTGTTTTGGGATTGCACCCAAGGAGCCTATTACTATTGGTACTACCCTTGCTTGCTTTTGCCACAGTCTTTCTATTTCTATTTGTAGGTCTTTGTATTTTGTTATCTTGTCCAGTTCTTTCTCGTCTATTCTGCTGTCTCCAGGCACTGTCACATCCACTATCCAGAATTTTTTGTCTTTCTTATCGACAATTGTTAAGTCTGGGTTATTATTATTATTATTATTATTATGGATCATCGCACAGTCAGCCAGATGTTCAGACTGGATTTGGCATTTTGTCTACCTATCGAGTCCTTACCCAGGACCTGGGATAGGCAGATGTGGATGTTTGATGGTATTACAGATATCGTCGCAGGATGGAAGATTATTATTATTATTATTATTATTATTATTATTATTATTATTATTAATTGTCATGCTAAATTATTATGGTCTATAGTAAAACATTTTTAATAAGTAAATTATTTATTTATTTATTTATTTATTTATTTATTTATTTATTTACCTTTTCATGCCACCCATAACCCCTATAAGGCAACTCTTAAAGTTTATTTTAATGTACCAAATTATACTGTGGAAAATATTTATAACTAGATTTTCTTTTTTTCATTCAAACATCCTGAAATCCTGGAGAATGCTGAAGTTAATTAATTCATTAAATAATGTTAAGGGTATGTTTTATACCATCATCCTTCAACGAGGAAGAGTATGATCAGAAATGAAAGTCTTGGAACTTTCTTGGCTCAGTAGTATATTTTATCAAACTTTTTTTTTCAAAATCAAAACAGTATCTATAAAATTGCAATATACTGCTAGGAAGATACACTACAATACAAATTAAAATATATTCCATATAAGTATTAAACCACTTAAGCAAGAAGAGGGAAAAAAATCAAATTTTGTATTGCTGACATTGCTTTCAGCGCAAATGAAAATTATTTGGCTAGAATGTCCAAAATTGTTCTAAATATTTTGGATAATGTGTCCAGAAACAAGATGAATTTTACTCAAGAATGATTATATTTTAAGAATATTTTATGTATTTATTATTTCACATAATTTTAAAAGTGTTTCATAAGTATTTCAGTATATTCTTTGCACAAATGCCTAAAAATATCACTGCATAAATTGTAATACCCCATACAAAATAAATATATTCCTTATATTTAAATATAAATAAATATAATCCTTCATATTTCTAAGTAATGACTGGGAATATGTTGCACATTTGCCTATTGGTTGGGATTAAGAGAGAATCAGAGATGGCAAAAGAGAATTCCTTTCAGTTTATCATGGGATCTTTAATATGGTTTAAAAAGAATCTTGAAAATCACCAGGTTTTTTTTTGTTTGTTTGTTTTGTTTTTTGGTAGTGTTTATATAGAGTTGTTTCTGACTGCTAAATCTGAGGTGCAAGAAAAAAGGGGAGTACCATTTTAATGAACATCCTAAACTGATATTTTACTTTTAAAATAGCACTTAAATATTTACACTTTTCCCCAATCCTTTTATGTTGAATCATAACTTGTATAATTCTTCATGTAGCAAAAGCTGAGCTACATCAATCTAATATTTTTGTGGTGGACTTTTAATACCTTCCAGTTTTCTCCTTCACAATTTTACAGATGAAGTCTCTATAGTAATTCTAAAAATCTTAATTCATTGTACATATCATATTAATGCTAGACTGCAAAATTATTTTGAGATTATAGCAATACATTACAAACATGAGAAATTTAAATGATAAAATCCCTTTAGGTAAATAAAATAATTAAGTATAGCGAAAATATTACATAACAAAAAATGGATGATGGGAGATTAAAAAGAGATTGAAGTATTCTTACAAAAATAAGTTTGTTGGCCAGATAGTGTGTGAAAATATATTGCAAATTCATTATATTTATATATATTTAAATATTTTGAATGCTTATCTCTTTCCTTTTAGTATATAATCCTATAAAATCATCTGGAAGAAATGAAGTGGAAAAATGAAACATTTCAAATGGCATTCATCCTCCTTGGGTTTTCCAGCATGCCAAATATTGAATTGCTTCTATTTCCAATAGTCCTGGTGATGTACTTTGTAACAATGACTGGAAACATCCTCATCATATTTATAGCTATGAAAGACCCAGCCCTTCAGTCACCTATGTACTTCTTCCTAAGAAACTTATCCTTCATTGAGATATGCTTTACTTTAGATACAATCCCCAAAATGCTAGTTAACCTACTGTTGAGAGATAAAAGTATCTCCTACACAGGTTGTGCAATTCAAATGTTTTGCTTCTTCTACTTTGGATGTGCTGAGTGTTTCCTCTTAGCTGCCATGTCCTATGACCGTTATGTTGCCATTTGCAACCCACTGAACTATGCCAATCTCATGAGCAGGAGCTTCTGTCAGAAGTTGGTTGGTGGAGTTTGGCTGATTGGTATTCCTGTCTCATTGTTGCAGGCAGCCTGGATCTTCAGCCTTCCATTCTGTGGCATGAAAAAAATTAATCACTTCTTCTGTGATGCCCCTCCTGTATTGAAGTTAGTCTGTGCTGATACTTCTCTTTTTGAAATGCAAGCCATAGTCTCTACACTTGTATTCCTTATGTTTCCTTTTGCACTGATTTTGATTTCCTACACCCGTATCATCATCACCATCATCACAATACCTTCAGCAATAGGCAGGCAAAAAGCCTTCTCTACATGTTCATCTCATCTAATTGTGGTGATATTATTCTATGGAAGTGGGAGCATTGTTTATCTAAGGCCCAATTCCACCTATTCACCAGAAATTAAAAAAATGTTATCTCTGTTCTATGCAGTCCTTACTCCCATGCTAAATCCCATTGTCTATACTCTGAGGAACCATGAAGTGAAAGGAGCACTGAGGAGAATTCTAAGATATAAAAGTTTCTCATAGGCTATATCACTTACGCAGAGACCTTTCATAAATAGCTTGGAACCTAGTCTACTTCATTCTGCTCTGAAAAGATCACTTAGAAATCTATGTGGAAGTGGTATACTTTTTTTCTCAGCATACTTAGCCATGGTTGTATTTTCCCATCCTCTTGGTGTACATAAAAGTAAATGTTTGACAGTTATATATTTAGAATGCTACAGTGCTATCAAATGCTTGGAAGAGACCATCTTCTCACTGACTCAGTTCTAAGGCCTAGAAGGAATCAGGATAAATCAAATGAAGTATACTGATAGTTACAAATTTTGATAGCATTCTTAAAATTCCAAGGAATGCTTCACAACAAATTGTAAGACATAAAATTGTAAGCCATAAAAATGTAATTCTTATGGTTCAAATGTATATATTTTAATATAATTTGAAAAAAGTGTCTTTTTTCTTTATATGCATTATTGCATACTGTTTCTATCAAAGATACTAAGTAAGTAAGCAAATAAACAAATAAACAATATATGTGGGTTTTTTGTGGGCCTTCTCCTTAAGTATCAGTTTCCTAGAAGAAAGCACTAGTGACTTTAATGAGATTTAATGGTTTCTAAATAAAAAGGAATTACTGGTCAGCTATAAAAATGCTTTATAACCTCTACTGGAACCTGCATCTGTATATTAGGATGATCTTTTTTTTTATTGAAAGTTTTTGAATTTTACAAAACAAATCCCTTCCCCAAACCCCCCACCCTCCCATACCCTCCCCCCTCTCCCCAAACCTCCCATACCCTCCCTCAACCTTCCCAGAGCTGAGTACAGGCTTAATTAAAATTTTTCAAAAGAGATAAAAAATAAAAAAACTTAAAACACATATAAATCCTAAACAAATCTAAATACCTTAAATTAAACAAATTATCTTCTCTAAAAGATAATAATTACAAACATTAAACACATATTATAATATACTCTAAACCTTTTCTAATATTGTACTTATATTATTATCCATCATTCTATAAAGAATCACCAAAACACAAATTTAAACATTACTTTCTTTAAATATCTATACCTACAATATAAAATCTAATCTAATCTCCCCCTTTCTTTACTCTAGAACACAAAAATGAGCATATAAACATTCATTATACCATTAAGACTGGATACTCATTTAATTAGTTAAACTAAATACTTATATTTAAACTTCTTATCTAAAATTTAATTAAACAAATTAACTTCTCTTAAAAATAATAATAATAATAATAGAAAAAAAGAAAAGAAACCAATCTTTAAACAAACTATAGTATACTCTAGAACCTTTTCATATCATTTATATTATTATCCATCATTTTATAATATACTCTAAGCCTTTTCATATGATACTTATATTATTATCCCAAAACACATATTTAAACATTACTTAAGACGTTAAAATTCCCTTATACCTGTTTAAATCTTTACCAATAACAAATTCCTCCACAGTAAACACATTCGTTCTCTTATCCATACACCTCTTAAAGGTATTTCCAAAAACTTTATAAATCTTACTTCTCCCGCAATCTCAATAGTCTTCTGAATACCTAAACAAAATACTTAAACTTCTTATCTAAAATTTTCATTCAATCTCCATAATCTTCTGTCCAATAGCCAGTTGCATCCACTATAAACACAATCCTTATCATCTCTCTTGTCCATAAACATCGAAAGAAATGCATTAAAATCTGCCCTTGAAGGTCGCTCCAAAAAATTTGTGAGTCCTGGTTCTCCCACAAACTCAGGGACCAATAACTGTGAAGCTTCCTCAACCTCCTTCTTCTGTTGGTCTTTCTCTTTACGTTTATATGTTACTTTTTCTTTACGTTTATATGTTGCACAAGTTGTCCTCTGGTCTTTCATCTCGACTTGTTGAAGCCCCTCAAACTGAAATTTCCCATTTTTAATTAATATAGGCTCTTCAGACTGCAATTCTGCCCTTAAAGGTTGCTCCAAAGAGTTTATAAATCCTACTTCTCCCGCAAGTTCAGAAACCAATACTTGTGGAACTTCCTTGAGCTTCTTCTGTTGATCCTTTTCTTTACAATTATATGTTGCACAGGTTATCTTCTGCTCCTCCATCTCTACTTGTTGAGGCCTCCCATTTTTAATTAATATAGGCTCTTCAGACTGCAGTTCTGACTTTAAAGATTGCTCCAAAGAATTTATAAATCCTACTTCTCCCACAGATTCAGGAACCAATACTTGTGGAACTTCCTTAAACTTCTTCTGTTGATCCTTTTCTTTACAATTATATGTTGCACAGGTTGTCTTCTGCTCCTCCATCTCTACTTGTTGAGGCCCCTCAAACTGAAGTTTCCCAATTTTCATAATTCTAAGCACTTCAGACTGCAGTTCTGCCTTTTTTTCTTCCAAAGCTTTAAACATGGTAGGTGACGATGAGCATACCCCCAGGACCGAAGTATAAAAATCTTTTGCTTTAAAAACAGTATTAAGACTATAACGTATCCCCAGGTAGCTCACCACCATTCCAGTCGGAACATCCCATCTAAACAAAATTTGTCTCTTTTTAAGTTCGTCTGCTAAAAAAGCAAACTCCTTTCTTCTTCTTAAAATTTTTGGTGGGATCTCCTTTAAAATTATAACATCTTGTGAAGCAATTTGAAACCTCTTCTTATAAAAAGCTTGTATAATTTCATTGCGCAGGGATCTTTTCCCAAAGTAAATTACCACATCTCTTGGCAAATTTTTTTGCTCTGCCACCACAGAGTTAACTCTAAATGTCTGATCAATTCCACTAAGTATTTCCTCTTCTTCTCTATTCAAAATCACAGCAAAGTCCTTTGCCACCATCTCTCTCAAATCTCCTTGCACAGACTCATGTAAACCTCTGATTCTTAAGGCATATTCCATTTGTTTATATTGAAGCATAAGAATCTCATCTTGAAAGTTTTTCATCTCTTTTTCCATACTTTCAAATTTTTCCTCCATCAATTCCACTTTTTCCTACTACCTCTTCTACGCGAGAATTCAACTTTTCAAGAACAGAGGCAACTCCTTTTAAAGTCAAAACTATCTCTTGCCTCAAAGTCTTATTATTTTCCTCTAAAATCTCTTTCATTTCTCCCCTAATTTGAAGTATAACATCTCCCATCATATCTTGCAAGTCCTTCACTATTGTTGACTGTGGCAAGGAAGAAGGTGAAGCTATTAATTTAGGTTGTTGCCCTGATGATAACACCGAAGAAGAAGCCACCTTGGAAGCTGTAGAGATTACTGAACGCTTTGGAGCCATCTTAAAAAAACTTTACTCCTTCTTAAAAATTGCAAGAATTAAGCAAAAAAAAAGAAATTAACTCCATAAATTTAAAAAAAAATCCTTCAAGAGGGGATTGTTATAATAAAAAGAAAGGAGTTCAAAAAAAGAAAAAGGAGAAGAAAAAAAATAATTGAATAGAAAAAATCCGTTCCATTTTTTAAAAGTGCCAAAAAGTACCAAAAACAAAACACAAAAATTAAACAAAAATAATACTAACACTCCATTCCAATCATAAAAAAAAAACAAAAAAGAAAAAAGGAAAGGGAAAAAAAGAAACACCAAAAAGCCTGCCGGTCACCATTCTAGCTTCCGAAAGAAAAACACCGAGAGGCTTGCCGATCGCCATTTTACTTTCCCTTTCAACAAAGAGAAAAAAAAAATAAAAAGAGGGAGTATAAAAGTAAAAACAAGTCTTGAAACTTAAAATCCAAATAAATCAAAGAAAGCAAAAACTAAATCCTCTACTCAGCTCTGTCCGTTTATAAAAAAAACTCACCAGTTCGCTTTAATCACGGAGGTGGTTGCAGCGGCTCGTTTTGTCCCTAAGGACAAAAGCAGCTGGGAAGTGGAGACAGTCTGAACTCCGTGGGAGCACTCTTTTCAACCCCCCAAAAAAACTTGGGGGGTGCATAAGAGGCTCTACCACTATTCAGACAACTCTCTACCCCCCCCCCTTTGCCCGGGAGGGGGTTTTGAACCGCTGAACAGCTGATGTCCGCTGTTCATAGCGATTCTTACACTTACCCAGGAGGACGGCTACAAAGTAGCCACCATTCGCGCACGCAGATCCACCGGAAGCCCCTATTAGGATGATCTTTTGATAGACTAAATTAAATACTTTGGGCAGCTGACATTCGTTATTACAATCTGGCAGCAAATCGGCAGAATCCTTGGCATGTGCATGTCAAAAACTGCAAGAGGGCATGTGCAACACCTTTAAAAAGTTTGTTTGTTTATTTATTTATTTATTTATTTATTTATTTATTTATTTATGTATTTATGTATTTATGAGACTTATATACCGCTTTAAGTGCAGGCACTCTCTAAGCGGTGTACACCAGTAAGCAATGTATATATATATTTACCTTGCCCCCAACAATCTGGGTCCTCATTTTACCTACCCCGGAAGGATGGAAGGCTGAGTCAACCTTGAGCCGGTGAGATTTGAATCGCTGACCTGATGAACACAGTCAGCTAAATACAAATGAACAAAATGGACCTTGTCATCTTGGAGACTTTCTCCCACCCCCTTTCTTTAGGCCCCCATGTAGCAAGTGTGACCTTTTAAATGAAATAGTAGGATATTCTGTCTAGACCTTAATGGACAGATCATTATGGATCTGGAATTAATATGCTAATTTCAAATTTCAGCATATGATTCATTTTCATTGTTATAATACTTATTTTGAAAGAATCATATTGGTGACAACTAAAAATATGGACACTGATTAATACAATTTAATCATAGCAAATTCATAAATAAAAATCATTTTAATTGTTAATTCTATTATGAACTGAAAGATTAATTGTTTCTGATCATTGTAAAATAATTCTGAATTATCCCAGTGGTGAATAAAATATAAAATATATAAAAAGAAATATTAAAAAGATGATTGAAGGTAATCAGAATACAACATGCTAATGTTAAACCACTTCTGAAGGTAAGTAATCTTGCAAATGGAGATGCTGAAGGTGAGATATTGATCTTGTCCCCCCATTATGCAGAATGTAGCAACTGTGTCTGTTAACATTTGTTTCAATGTTTAATTATTTTATAGACACAAGTGCCACATTATAAAAGTGTTATATGATGATGATGATGATACAGATACTTGCTTATCACATTATTTCCTGCTCTTTGCTACCCCCCCCAAAAAAGCAACATTGTAAAAAGAGAAATCAGTGAAGGAGCTAAACTTTTTCCTTTGACCTTCTCCAGAGGAAAGAGGAATGCAGCATCCGCCAGGCATTTTTTGTCCAAATTGGCACCCAAATCAAAGGGAAAAACTACTGCAGAGTTTTGAAAAACTGCCAGAGTTGCTGTGCCCCTTCCCAAAACAAAGCACCCCATGCAGCCTAGCCTCATCCCATACAGCCGCTGCAACACCCCACCACTTACTTGTCCAAAATGAAATACAGGTCAAAGCCCCCATAGCAGGCTGCACTCTCCTCCTCTCGCTGCCCCCCTCACCCATCACAGGGGACCATCAGGGCATTCAGAAAAGAGGGGAAAATGTTGTCTGGAGGTGGGACTTGGGGGGGCATGGTGGTTTCAGATTTCCCTTCTGCTCTGCTTTCCCTTTGGTCCATTTTCAGAGCGCCTCTGCCTTGCGCTTCCAGCACAGCTGAGCCCACCATTGTCGGCCAGGCGATTGGCAACTTCCAGTTCCCGTTGCTTTGCTTTGCCCCAGATTTGAGAGACATGGAAGCCTCATACCCTCTCCTGCCCCCTTCCCCATGAAGGAAAAAGCTGAAATTTGGTGCTGATTCTGGCACTTCTGCTGAGCCCTGAAGAAGCACCATGTCAATGCTGCAAATACGGTATATTCTTGCTTTGACAACAACTGTCTGGTATTTTTGGGGTTAATACAGAGCAGAGGAGGGTGGGGGTAAAGCCTGGGAAAGAAAGAGGAAGGAAACCTTTGACCTTCACACTAATTGGATAATGTGATATATGACAGCTAATTTAGGGAGGGAACATGCTGATAATTTAACTGCTCAGAGGAAGAGAACTTAGATCTTAGCATAGACTCTGTTATGCCTGTGCTGACATTTTGAATCAATAAAAGACTTTTAGGGAAATCTATACCTGGAAATTCTTTGAAGTGTTTGTTTAGCCGGAACCATAACACACCAATCAGAAGAAGTGCTGATCAGCTGGAACCTGGCACTGATCCTGGTGCTTCTGCTGTGCCCTGACAGCCCTGCAGCTCCAGCCATCTCTTGCTCAGACTTGTGCAATGCTGCCGCCAGTTCAACTCATTTGCCTCCCCCACTAGGATGGTCATATACCACCAGTCAGGTGCCAATGTATCACAGGTGGTACACGTACCACCCATTAAAAAGCCCTGCTCTATACAACCATTTTGCATGCTCTCCATGAGATCCCCAAAATTACTGGGATTTTTTGTTTTCACATTTTCATGCTTTTCCAAAGGCTAATGATGTTGAGACTAATCCACCTGGAGGAAATGAGGTTCCAGAGGGCTGGAGGGACCGCAAAACATCTGGGTCCCATAAAATGGAACTTTTTAGCAGATGAGACCTGGAATATACACCTCCTGCTTCATTTGATGGGATAGGTAGACATGATTGGAAAAAGGGGATGCCTCAAATAACCTAGACACATGCCATGTAAAGATCAAAACAAGTACTTTAGATTGTACTCATAAATGGCCTTCCAAACAATTTATGGACAGACGTGTTCATAATGTTCCTAGTGGAACACATAATTCTGTGCAGTCATATTATTCAATAGCCATCAGATATTCTCCTAGGACAGCACATTGTAGTAATACATTCCAGAAGTGATAGCAGCATGAGTGACTGTGATCTAGAGCCCCATAGTCCAGAAAAGAATGCAACCGGCACATAACATTAAATTCTGCAAAGGTCCTTTTAGCCACTGCGACCTATTTCTCTAGCAAGAGTTGTGAGTTTAGAAGGATGCTCAAAGAGGATACCAGGACCATCTGAGGTAGCACCAACCCATCTAGAGGCAGACACATTGAGTTTTCCAAGGTTCAGCTAAAGCTCAGAATAGAATAGAATAGAATAGAATAGAATAGAATAGAATAGAATAGAATAGAATAGAATAGAATAGAAGACACAAGGAATTTGTCTCCAGTGCATAAGCTCTGTACGTACAAACAACAAATTAATGTAAATATAGCATTATATTATAATATATCATATTTACCTTACATGACATCATTACATTATTATTTATAAATTTATCATTATTTTATTTTTTTACATCCAATTCTCTACAGCCTCCAGGCACTGGGAGAGAACATTAAAAGCATCACTTAATTTGTCAGGGCCAGAGACATACAAGCATTCTGATGATACCTCACCCTGTGGCAACAAATGATGTTAAATAGGAGTGAAAAGAGTACCAATCCCACATAATAGTATCCACAGATGGGATGTCTCACTCCCAATCAACATTAATTGGTACCAGCACCATAGGGAGAAAGAGAACTACTCCAATAAACAATCCAACATCCCCAATTCAATGTTATTTGTTTTACAATATCTAACCTTTTTATTTGCAAAAATCATTATTGTATATACATTTTTCTTATTCCTAATATCTTTCAATCAGTAAATATCCCAAGCCCCCCTTTCATGCATATTAATAATACAAGATCACATATGTCTGTGGCATTCTATGAAAACAGCTTCAACATTCACTTTCCTTGCACCTTTTTTCTATTTATTTTGAAGAAAAAAATAATTTATATTTCTTTATTGAAGAATAAAGAAAATTGTTGACACAATTGCCCCTCCCCTGATGTCCAATATAGCCTCCTACGATACTCTTTCCTAGCTCAGATTGCCCATGTAGGTCCCGCAGGACTTAGTTGTTCTGGACATGCAGTGCCAAAGTAAAATAATTTAAGAATATGAGCTAACATAATATAATAATAACAACACATATTGTAAATGTTGAAATTGAGGCATACAAAACAGTTAATATTTATGGTTGTTAATCTATTAATTAATCCAAACTATAATTACTCATCTAATATCCAAATTCTTAATATAACAGGATGCTTTTTAAATCAATACTAAATTAAAATCCATATTTCTGTGCAACATTAAATTTTCAGGCGGACAAGGATGCCTTTTGTCAATATTTATTTATTCATCAATTTTATATAGCAACCCAAATCAGAAAACAAGTGATTCTGGCCAGCATACAGCAAAACTTAAAAAAAAACCATAATATATACATCATCATCATCATCATCATCATCATCATCATAGTTGTTGTTGTTGTTGCCTTTAAAAGCTGTTAAAAACACACTATAAAAGACAAACATTAGGCAAACAGCAAATGTTAATAACTATATAACCATCCTAATATCTTACCAGTTCCAAGGACTCTATAGGTCTCATGGCCTACCAGGTTTTGAAGACTAAAATATTAAGGTATTAAGGTGGAAAATTAAGAAGAAGTAGTTTTCTTTATTTTGATCCTAATGAAATCCAACTAGATAAAGCTATAATATATGATTATTTTAATGGTTCCATGAAGGAGAAATTCAAATAACAATTGCTAATTCAAAATGTGGAGCTATCCACCTGCATATTGAATATATATATTGAACTGTATTTCTAGAAGTTTTCTAGAAGTAAGCTCCATTATTGCATCTCTTAAATACACGGTAGAAACCTATTTTTCCAAAATCTACCAAATAGCTTCTTCAGGGCTTCTTTGACATCCTTGTTTCTCAATGTATATATTAGGGGGTTGAGTAGTGAGGGAAACACTGTGTATAACAGAGAAAAGAATTTGGTATAATTTTTCATTTCTTCAGTTTCTGGCATCAGGTACACAGCTGTTATTGCCCCATAGAAAAAAGACACAACAATCAGATGAGAGGAACAGGTAGAAAAGGCCTTTTGTCTCCCAATTCTAGATGATATTCTCAAAATGGTTCTTAGTATAAATAGGTAAGACATAAAAGTCAAAATAAAAGGAGGAAACGTAAATGTATAAGCCAGGATTGCAATAGTATATTTTGCAAATGTAGTATCACTGCAAGAAAGCTTTATTAATGGCAAGGATTCACAAAAGAAATGGTCAATTTCATTGGGGCCACAGAACCAAAGCTGTAACATGAAGATCAAATATACCGATGTAAATACCACGCCATTGATCCAAGACACAGCAGCTAGCTGGATGCAGCGTGTAATTCTCATTGCAGTCGCATAATGCAAAGGTTTACATATGGCTAAAAATCGATCATAAGACATCACAGAGAGGAGATAGCATTCTGTGCTACCCAGGGAAGCAAAGAAATAGAACTGTGTAATACATCCTTTGAAAGAGATGTATTTTTCCCCTGTTAAAAAACTGTCCAACATCTTAGGCAAGATTGTAGAGCTGTACATCATTTCCAAACATGACAAATTGCCTAAGAAGAAGTACATGGGTGTATGCAAACGGTGATCAACCAGAATTAGAAAAACAGTGAGGAAATTGGCCATCATAGTAAATATGTAAAGTGTTAAAAATAACATGAACAGTAACATCTGCATACCATGAAGCTCCCCAAATCCCAGAAGGATGAAATGAGTGATGACAGTCATGTTACCTTGCATTGTATTTCACATTGCATGTATACTTGTCCAGAAAGTCAATTTATATATTTGTGGTAGAAAACATTTGTAGCATTTGAAATTCAGAAGAATCCATAATAGTTGCATTCTTCAGGCAGTCAACAAGCTCAGTTCATGCTGTCTCCAAAAATGCTATGTTTTACACTGTAGATGAAAAAAACAAGTTCCATTTAAAAAATTGCACAAATTAAATATTGTATTACTAAAATATTTTTGAACATATAAAAATTGTAGATTAGAACTAACAGGAATCCAATTACTCTTTGGATCTATATAAATTGATTTAATAAACTGCTACTGATTCAATAAGGTTCCTAAATATCTGGATTGCTTTTCTTTTATAGAATAAAATATGATGATTTAAGACATGGTTTCAAAGAGGAGGGAAGGAATAATTCAAATAGTTGTATAAAAATGGTTGTATAAAAACCAGGAAAATAAGTGATTTGTCTGAACAAAATTTCAGAAATCCCATATTCAATTTTCACTTTTTTTCCCCTGAATGGTGCCTTTTGGGTTAAGAGACAGAAAAAAAAATACATATTTTTCTACATCAAGCATGGCAGCTTTAGAAATCAAACTTTGATTCCCCAGAGGTGATTCTGATAACAGTGGTTAAAAATGCAGATAGTATAGCTATAACTGCATGATATTGATAATTGCTTCAGTAATTTTTTTTCCACAAAGATAGTTCTCCTAGTACCCAAGTCAATGGGATTTTTGCTATCATGCATAGAACACACACACATCACATATGTGCACACACAGAGATATTTTGGTGATCTGATGGAATCATTCTCCCAGTTTAGGAATTACAGCTCTGAGTATTCTTATCACAACTGGGATCATTTTGACTTTACCTTCTACATTCTCTTTAGTTCCTTCTTTAACTTCTAATAGTTTTCCAGCTTCTCACACTTCTTCATGACGTTGCTGTAACTTGGCACAGCTACATCTATCACCATTACTGACTTCTAGCTTGACAACTACTACAATATCTAGTTGATTAGCCTGTCTGTTTGGATCTGGAAGTTCACAGGGCCTTAGCTCTATTATTCTCCATGACCTTCTGTGGAATCTTCCATCTGGACTTGGAAGAGTCTAGTCCATTCAATTCAATGTCATTCAATGTCATTCAATTTATGCTCTTCCTTCCTGCATTTAAGATCCTGCCACTATGTGTTGGCCTCTCTGCACAGTTTGTATCTTGTATCCTCTGTAGTGGGGTAGACTGCTGTCTATGTGGATCTGGTGCTTAGTGCTTGTTCTTGTGTTGGTATGGTCAACATCTATCAATGTCTGTCAAGTCTATTAATTCATTTATTAAATACAAGTACATATTACATGTAAATAATATATATGGCACATCAGTCACTAACACATTGAATTAGGAAAAAAATATTGAAGAGATATATATTGAAAGTCTTTGTTTAGTATCTTCCAAAGTTTTTCAGGCTAATATAACACTTTTATTCAATACCTATTTGAATACTAGCTAAGGCTTAATTGTGCCAATATTAATTGCTCTTACATCAAATAAAGCACAGATGGTCCTGTTAGTGAGCTTTTAAAAATATACATCCATGTTTATAATTGAAAAACACTTTGGAATCAAGTCTTTATATAGCATCATTTTTACAAAGTATTTATGATAGAAATCTGAATACATTTAAGGAATTAATATTACTGTAATTTTATAATCACCATTATTGCATTTTTGATAGTACCTTGATGCTTTAATTCTATATTCAAACAGGCTCATACATAATTGTTAATGTATGTCTTTAAGCAAACAAACATACATTCCTATGTGGAATGGTATGATTATTTTTTAACCTTCCTTTGAAAATATGAACAAAATATCCAGAAGACTAAATGAATTTAACTTATATAAATTTCAGCTATACATTTCTGAAGATTTCCTTAACCTTTCCACTGAAATCATTAGAATTCCTATCACAGAGAAATGTGCTATATTTTAGTGGACATTTTAGATAAAGTTCAGCTTCCAACAATGAGGGTATTACAGTAAGATGAGCTGCTGTTCCTCTTATCTCTGGTTATATTAATATATAGAAGTTCACTTACCAGCAAAGGAAATCATAAGTGTAAGTAAAATGTATCATAAGTGTAAGTAAAATGCCTGTTCAAGGTTACCATTCATAGGCAATGTAAGAATGCAAAAATGGGAAAGGGAAAGAATTAGCTTTGTTCCATTGTATTCCATTGAAATACAGCAGGAAGACTGAATTAGGAATTAAAGCTCTTTTATCTTATGATTGGAAGTGTCAGTTGACTTTGCCCCCTGCCTCTCAGGTGGGCAGACTGATCTCAAAGGCATTTTTTTCTGGTTACTTCACACCTACTGGACCAGATCCAGGTTGGAGTGTTTTCTTTTTATAGAATGTGACAACTTAATCCCTTATTTTTAAGTATTAAAGTGATTTCTTTAACTATTTAACTACTATAAATGCTAAGTTATTAAAGTAATAAATTATAGCCACATCACATTATTCTCTTCTGAGGTAAGTAATGTTAGATAAAGCAATAGTCTCCAACCCCTGGGCCTCAGACTGTTACTAATCCGTGGCTTGTTGGAAACTGGGTGGCACAAGGGGTGGATGAATGCACGAAGCTCCATTTGCATATGCGTGGGATTAGATTCAATGTGCGAAATCATCCTCCTTGCCTAATGTAGGAATCTTCATAAACATTCAAAATTGTTTATTTGCTTACTGATTTTATTTGATTTGAGACAATCAGGCAATTCCTTAATTCAACTCTTATAATAATGTTTCCATGCAGTGCATCTTTTCTTACCTTCTGGTGCTATGGAAAAAATATTCCTTTCTCTACTCTATTTATTGGAAGACATGGCTTCCCTTAGCATTCTACTCTATAAGCAAATATAATAATGATGATGTTATTTATTCAGTTATGTCCAATTCTTGGCAATTCTATAGGCAATTCTCCACATCTTCTGATCTTGAACTATAAGGGCAATTTGGAAATAAACCTTGGGATTGCATCCAAGGAGCCTATCACTATTGGTACTACCCTTGCTTGCTTTTGCCACAGTCTTTCAATTTCTATTTGTAGGTCTTTGTATTTTGTTATCTTCTCCAGTTCTTTCTCATCTATTCTGCTGTCTCCGAGCACTACCACGTCCACTATCCAGACTTTTTTGTCTTTCTTATCGATAATTGTTAAGTCTGGGTTGTTGTTGTAGTTGTTGTTGTTACTATCGATCATCGCACAGTCAGCCAGATGTTCAGACTGGATTTGGCATTTTGTCTACCTATCGAGTCCTTACCCAGGACCTGGGATAGGCAGATGTGGATGTTTGATGGTATTACAGATATCGTCGCAGGATGGAAGCAGTTCCTAATAAGGCCGCCTTTTGCAATTGACTAATAGCGAATTTGTCAATGCCAATGGTGTTCAAGTGGTGCTCCAGTTGTTTTGGGATTGCACCCAAGGAGCCTATGACTATTGGTACTACCCTTGCTTGCTTTTGCCACAGTCTTTCTATTTCTATTTGTAGGTCTTTGTATTTTGTTATCTTCTCCAGTTCTTTCTCTTCTATTCTGCTATCTCCAGGCACTGCCACGTCCACTATCCAGACTTTTTTGTCTTTCTTATCGACAATTGTTAAGTCTGGGGTGTTATGTTGCAGGTGCTTGTCTGTTTGAATTCTGAAGTCCCAGAGCAGTTTAATTTTATCATTTTCTATGACTTTCTCTATTTTATGATCCCACCAGTTTTTGCTTACAGGCAAATGATATTTTTTGCAGATCTTCCAATGCACCATTGTTGCTACTTTGTCATGCCGCTGCTTGTAATCAGTCTGTGCAATCTTCTTGCAACAGCTTACCAAGTGGTCCACTGTTTCTTCAGCTTCTTTGCATAGGCGGCACTTACTGTCTGTTGCTGTCTTCTCAATTTTGACTTTGTATGCATTTGTCCTTAAGGCTTGGTCTTGTGCAGCCAGAATTAGTCCCTCGGTCTCTTTCTTCAATTTTCCTGCTCTTAGCCATTGCCAGGTTTTATTATTATCTGCTTTCCCAGCTATTTTTTTCATGTATTGGCCATGTAGTGCTTTGTCTTCCCATGTCTCTATTCTGTTCTTCATTTGATCTTTCTTGTAGGCAAGTTTGGTCTCTCCAGTAGTTAGTAAACCTTCCTGATATACTAATTTCAGTGCATCTTCATCATTGTTCTTCAGATATTCTTCCAAAGCCATTTTTTCTTCTTCAACCATCTGATGTACTTGTAGCATTCCACGCCCACCTATTATTATTATTATTATTATTATTATTATTATTATTATTATTATTATTATTATTAATCGATCATCGCACAGTCAGCCAGATGTTCAGACTGGATTTGGCATTTTGTCTACCTATCGAGTCCTTACCCAGGACCTGGGATAGGCAGATGTGGATGTTTAATGGTATTACAGATATTGTCGCAGCATGGAAGCAGTTCCTAATAAGGCCGCCTTTTGCAATTGACTAATAGCGAATTTGTCAATGCCAATTGTGTTCAAGTGGTGCTCCAGTTGTTTTGGGATTGCACCCAAGGAGCCTATGACTATTGGTACTACCCTTGCTTGCTTTTGCCACAGTCTTTCTATTTCTATTTGTAGGTCTTTGTATTTTGTTATCTTCTCCAGTTCTTTCTCTTCTATTCTGTTATCTCCAGGCATTGCCACGTCCACTATCCAGACTATTATTATTATTATTATTATTATTATTATTATTATTATTATTATTGTTATTGTTATTATTATTATTATTAGTCATGCTAAATTATTATGATCTATAGTAAAACATTTTTAATAAGTAATTTATTTATTTATTTATTTATTTATTTACCTTTTTATGCCACCCATAACCCCTATAAGGCAACTCTTAAAGTTTATTTTAATGTACCAAATTATACTGTGGAAAAGATTTATAACTAGAACAGTGAGGAAATTAGGCAGTATGGTAAAAATGTAGATAATTAAAAAGGACTGGAAAAGGAACATCTGCATATCATGAAGCTCCCCAAATCCCAGAAGGATGACATGAGAGATGACAGTCTGATTGCCCAGCATTGCATTTCACATTTCATGTATATTGATCCAGAAAAATCAATGTACACACTTGTAAAAATTGTGGAATTTGAAATTCAGAAATATCCATCATAATTTCACTCTACAAGCAGTTAAGAAGCTAAGTTCACGTTGTCACCAAAAATGTCTCTTTCCATTGATAGCTACAAGCAAGCAAGCAAACAAACAAACAATTAATTAATTAAATAAATAATCCTGTTTGGCAAATTGCATAAGACTTCTTAATATTATATTGCTATAATACACTTGATTATAAGAAAATTGTGGATTAAAATTAAAATGATATCAGATACTCTTTGGAATTGCATAAAATAATTCATAAAATGCTACTGAAATTTCATCTCCTTGTTCATGTTCTGGAAAATTATTGGTTGACTAACTTAGAGACAGATGAAAGATGTTTCACCATGAATTAATTAATTTTCCAGTCCTCCTAATATCTTGAAGAGTAGATTGATTATAGCATGCATATAGCTGAAAATTGAAATTGTGCATAAAATTTGAGACCTGCATACCTCAGTTATAAACAGAGGGGGGAAAAAATCAAGTTTGAAATGACTCCATGTGCTTTCACTCCGATATATCTCTCCATGCATATATATCTTTCTTCACCAATCTTGAAAATACTTAGCAAACCTATTCATCTCCCATTCTGTTCCTTTCACATCTCTTGTCTTCTTTAAGTCTCCCTTTGGTGATTATTTAAACTTTAGTAAAATAATTACAACCTCAAAGGGACTTTGACAAATTGTGAAATACATGTTTGCAATTAGTTTTGAATTGTTATATGAAGTAATGTGAATGGATTTAGAATGAATAAATTTAGATTTAAAAGTATATGAATATATGATGATTCAATGGAATCTCTGAAGAAGAGTACATTGGGGATAAATTCATTTGTTTGTCTAATAATATGTATTATTTGAAATTGGATATCTTGGCAAATTGGATATCTTAATAAAAATAAAATTGTTGCTTCATTTTATTTGGATTGTCTAGGAATTCCAATTCCCTTAAAAAAACACTTAGAATATAAGGATCATCACTTAATGGAAATCCACTGAGCCAAGAGACTATAGGAAAGCAAATCAATAGGCTTTATTATAATTCAAAATGCTTCAATCACAAATAGTATATTCTAAAACCACTAGTATTAGTGGAAAACTGAAAACATTCAAAATAACTGGTATTTATCCACAGGATCAAACAGTGTCATTGATGCAGGTTTAACTCTGTAAAAAACAATAATCTCAAGAATCACTCTACTGTCACATAACCTTTTGAGTTTCTTCCATTTATGTTCAATATATTGTGAACTCTACAAATGGATTATTTCCTAACAGGATCCAAGATACAGCTAGTAGTTTCAGTAGTTTTCCATTCCCTGCAGCTAACTAATCTGTGTCACTTAAAATTAATTCATAAGAGTAATCAATTGGATCTAAAGTAACTTCCAGTTTCTCTTTGAAGCTAATTTCTCACTTGTTTCTATTTCTGGCAGAGAAATAAAATTATGGAAGTAAGCCTTTAAAATCTGCCTTCTCACTTGCCAACTTCCTTGATAAAGTGTACCAAATATATAACCAAATTGGAGACATCTTTAATGATATTTAAAGTGGACACACACACACACACACTGTCCTCTGTCCTTTGTGTTCAACTTTGTAATATATTCATATACTGGCATGCTACAAATCAATGCAAAAGCCCAAGCATAATATTTATTTACAGAAATAGGAGTTAGAGTGTTTCCTGGTAAAGAGGCATTTTAGTAGCAGTTGCTACATTTCCCTACATACCTCTTGTCTGGTTTCTACACAAAGACTTATTATTGTGATATTGTCACTTTCTGCACTGTTCATAAACATTTTGAGGTTGGAAATGTGTATGGCATCTTTATGCAATAGCAAAATCAACATAAGAATGTTTATGAGAATCCAAAGTGGATTAACCTGATACCTAAAATCTTTCTTGTCTTTCTCCTTCTCCTTCTCCTTCCTCCAAATCAGATTGGAAAGAACAGTGTTTCCTCAAAACTTATTTTATCTTACTTTTGTTGCTTTTAATTTTTGTATTTTTGTAAAGTATCTTTTTCTCTATAAGTCTG